CACACACACACACACACACACACACACACACACACACACACACACACACAACCCCGGGAGGTCCCAGAGGCTTGGCCCCTTGGACAAGAAAGCCTGTCCAGGCGCAGGGAAACCTTTATCATTTGTCCTTCAGGTCCTGGATCCCTGCTGGCGGAGGGGAGCTACTAGGATAGGAATCTCCACCTTCCCTCCACCCTTCTGCACCATGAAAACGCTGAAGAAACAGTGGCTAGAAGCAGTGGGCGCCTACCAATACGTGCTCACTTTCCTCTTCATGGGTGAGAGTGAAACCGGAGGCCAAAGGAGTGCTGCCTGTGCCACCTGTGCCACTCAGCCAATAGACCTACACAGGAGTTGGGTTATAAGGACAACCTAACTCCTTATCAGAGCACCGGTGGCCTGAGAAGACAGCCGGTTAACACCTCCAAAAACTGTCTTAACATTCTCAGACCAGCTTGGGGTTTTTAATCTGGGCATTCCTCCAGAGGCCACATGAAGGTTCCAAGGGTCTGCAATGGAGCCTTCCCTGTGGCCAGGTGATTCCCTGGTGGAGTCAGCAAACCAGGATCAATGATGGGATTAGCCTGCTGGACCACTGAGATTGTGATCAATAAGCCTAAGGGTATTAATCATAAATTTCAGGGTAATTTTCTAAAACAGGGAACTGAGTGGGACAAGGGATATTCCAAGCTCAAGGAGCTCAAGCCGCAGGGGGAATGATCTATTGTTAAACTATAGGTAGGTCAGGAAAGGTGAGGCTGGGGCCTAGGAGAGGCCTCTGCTCTGGGGGTGCCAACCCAGCCCTGTTTCAAGAGGAGCCAGAGAGGCATGTGTACCTGGGGTCTGAAAGGGGAGAAGGAACTAGGCTGGGGAAAGGCTGGAGCTCCACTTGGATACCCAAATACAAAGGGAAGGGGAGAGGGCCAGATGTGGGTCTGGGAAATGGCCCGGAATATGATCCTTGAGGGTGGAAAAGAGGAGCCGTGGATGGAATGACTGAGTTGCAAAAGTGAATTTGTTTTTCTTTCTCATCTTTTACCCGGGCCCTTTCTTCTTTCTTGTCTTCTCCCTCCTCTTCACGCCTCTCTGGTCATTCTCTGTTCTCTATTTGTCATGGCTCTTCCTGGACTGGGACACATCCAGCCAAGGTGAGCTGGACAGGGGCCCAGGAAGTGAGATGGCAGCTGGGTACTTCCAGGGCTTCTTACACCCACATATCTCTGCCCCAAGGTGGAAGGCGGTCTGAGTGGAGATTAGGAACTGGGCCATTTGGAAACACCTAAGGGATTATTATTTTATCAAGGTGATAGGTTACCCTCTAGAGAGAATCTCTGCCTCCTCCCTCTCCCTCACCTCCCCCACCTATTCACCCCTCCCTTTAGTGGAACCTGAGCCCTGCTGCCTAAACTCAGACAATGGGGCAGGGGGTGGAGGGGTGTTCAAGAGTGGGCCCCCTGTGCCCTTGACTCTATCCTAAGACCTTGAACTCTGAAGTCTGTTGGGGTGGTAGGCAACAGCTTTTCAGCTGGTGTCCTGCCTTCTATGCCTTCTTCCCCTCATGCTGCCCCACACCCCAAAGCTGGTGATAATGATGGAGCTGCCCCCAGACCAGAACTATGTGTTTGGCTCTCACCCATAAGGAATCATGTGCATCGGAACCTTCTATAATTTCTCCATTGAGAGCAACAGCTCCCAGCAGTTCCCTGGGCTTTGGCCCTCAATAGTTGGGCTGGTCAGCCTCTTCCACTTCCCAATCCATCGAGACTATGAGACCACTACATCATGTCCTATGGTGAGCCTCCAGCTGAGTGGGAGGAGGTGCCCTCTGGCCAGGGTGACCCCACCCACCCAGCTCAGAGACCTGGCCTAAACACTGGCCAGGCTCACAGTGGGTGTCAGTGAATAGTTTTGGAGCAAGTGTCCTTTAGTGTCCTTGCTGGGACAGGCACTGTAGGGCACACAGACATGGGCATGATGGGTAGGGGGTTTGGAAAGCACAGGATGTGGTGCTCATCCTTCAGATGGGGGTGGGGTCGGGGCTAGGGAGCTGAGGATGGGGTGGTGACTACTCCCCACCTCTTCATGCCTACAGGAATATTTTCCGTGAACCGCCAGAGCCTGGACTTTATTCTGCTGCAGCCCCAGCTTGGGCAGGCCATGGTCATTGTTGTTGGGGTGCCCAGGAGCTCCTGTATGCAATCCCAGGGGAGCATCACCTTATGAATCTCAAAGGCTTTGTACTACTGGCCCTGAGGCACCGGTGAGTGGAGTGCAGGTGCCCAATCCACGTCTGTGCTTAATGGTCAAACTTCATAATGTGTCTGGGGCACTCTGTCCCTACACATCCAGGTTCCTGTAGGTGGGACTGTGTGTTCCCAAAGCCCATGGTGCCCTATACCTGGAGTGTGCTCACGTCAGCGCTTGAGTGCTTTCTACTCTGTGCAAAGGACTGTGTCCACTTTCCAGGCTTCCTCCCACTCCAACAGAGGCAAGGTGATAGTGCAAATAGCAGGACTCTTCGGCTCAGGCCTTTGGCTCAGAAGCGCAGGCTTCAACTCCCTCTCTGACACTATCTTTTTTTTTTAAAAAGATTTTTATTGGGGAATTGGGGGGATGGGAACAGCACTGGGGAATTGGGGGAAGGGGAACAGACAAGTTCCTGTCTTTTTGTTCTTCAGTCTAGTTGTGGGAGGACGTTGCTTCACCGGCCCAAGCTGGCACCATCATTGCGCTCTTCCCAAGTGAGGCAGATCAGTCGTCGGCTTCTGGACGGCCGCTCACTGCGGCTGCTGGCCGCTCACGCT